ACTTGGACATTCTAGAACTCTACTCCTGGGTAGAGTTTCATATTTTACAGAGAATACCAACTTTCTCCTCCCCCTTCCCCTGAGGGGCACATGTGGAAGGTGATTTCCCGGGATCTCCCTGGCCAGCCCACACCCGGGGTCCCCGCGGCTGGCCTTGAGGGAGACCTCACAGTGGTCACCAAACCTGCTCAGGCACTTGCTTGGTCTCCTCAGATACCCGGGGAGGGAGTGGAGGAGAGGAGATGGAAAAACACATTTCCCCAGTTTAAGGAGACTCAGTAGGATGTAAACGTGGACATCACTCTGCTGCTTTGCTTCAGAGATAACAAAGGCCCTTAGGAGCTGGCTGCCCTGGCCCGGCCACATTCCTGCCCTTTGTGAATCTCCTGAGCACAAATTCTTTGCTTCCGGGGTTGTCTTCCTAAGCATTGAAAGGCCCAGAGAGCCCCAGGTCGCCGCCATGCGCCCTCCCTGAATTCCTCTGTGGAGTGGAGACAAGTGTGAGTTGGCAGCGGAGTGCTAGGGCTGGCTCTCTAGGAGCTTGTGGGGCAGGGTCTGTGGGGCAGCCACGAAGGGACCACGTGCGTGGGGTGTGAGGGCTGCTGCGGAGAGGGCAGAGGGCCATGTAGGGCCAAGAGGAGGCCCAGGAGAGGAGCCGTCAGCTGTGTCTTGGGGTGGGTGGCAACCTTTGGGCTGCCCACAGTGCCGTCTTATTAAGCTAGCTCTTGAAGGCCAAGGGGCAGGAAAGTGTAGCAGACCGGACTGGCAATGACCCAGGGGACATTTGATTGGAAAGCAGGCTGTGGGGACCAATGAGGAATGAGGTCAGGACTGTGTGAAGAGGCTGAGTCTTGTTTAGGGGACAGTGGATCAGAGAGGGTGAAAGTGGGGGTACCAGGTAGCCTCTGTGGCTGCCCACATGGAGGGGACTGGGGGTGGCCCAGGGCATTTGCGCCTGGCTGGCTCAGTCGGTAGAGCATCCGACTCTCGATCTCAGGGTCATGAGTTCAAGCCCCACGTAGGACATGGAGCCTACTTAAAAAAAAAAAAAGGGACTACCATATCATTACTCATGCAGCCAGGTACCCCTGATGCTGCATTTTAAATCCCAGAAAAAGTATGAGTATTTTGTACAGTCAGTATTCTTTTAGATTTCCCTGCATATTTACTCTGATGCATTTCATTCCTTCTGCAATTCAGTGCTCCCATCTGAGATCATTTTCCTTCAGTCAGAAGCACTCCCCTTAGCATTTCTTGACAGATTCCCGGATGACCAGTTTCGCCAATTTTTCTTTTTCTGGCCAAGGTTTTCTTTGAAGGCTGTTTTTTTTTTTAAAAAGATTTATTTATTTATTTGAGAGAAAGAGAGCACGAGTGCCGGGGATGGGAAGTTGGCAGAGGGAGAGGGAGAGAGAGAATCCCAAGCAGACTTCCCACTGAGCATAGAGCCTGATGTGGGGCTCGATCTCACAACCCTGAGATCATGATCTGAACCGAAATCAAGAGTCAGACGCTTATCTGACTGAGCCACCCATGCAGCCCTCTTTGACGGCTATTTTATCTAGATTTATCATTCTGGTGTGGCATTCTAATTACTTTGGGCATTGCCCATGTATCACCCCATTGTCTTATGGTTCCCATTGTTTCTGTCGAGAAGTCAGCTGTCTGTTTTAGGTTTTCCTTTGAAGGCCAGGTGTCTATCTAATTTAAGAATTTCTCTTTGTGGGGGCACCTGGGTGGCTCAGTCGGTTAAGCAGCTGCCTTCGGCTCAGGTCGTGATCCCGGGGTTCTGGGATCGAGCCCCGCATCGGGCTCCCTGCTCGGCGGGAAGCCTGCTTCTCCCTCTCCCACTCTCCCTACTTGTGTTCCTGTTCTCGCTATCTCTCTCTGTCAAATAAATTAATAAAATCTTAAAAAAAAAAAAGAATTTCTCTTTGTGTTTGGTGTTGAGTAGTTTGATAATGATTTGCCTAAGTGTGCTCTTCTTTGGAGCTCCTAGTGTTTCTTTAATCTGTGTGTGGCTTGGCTTGATGTTTTTCACTTATTTTGTGAAATTTTCAGTTATTATCTCTTTAAATATTGCTCCTGGGGCTCTCATTACATGTTATGTTAGCTCTTTCCACCATGTCCCATGGGTCTTTCATGTTCTTTTTCGTATTTCCCAACTTTTTTCCCTCTGTGTCTTGGTCTGGATATTTTCTGACTTAAGTTGCGGTTCGCTAACCCCCCCTTTAGTTGTTCTAAACTGCTGTTGAACCCATTTATTGAGGTCTTGACTTTGGTTATATTTTCAGTTGTAGAATTCCCATTTAATTAATTTGTAGTTTCACATTCTCTGCTGCAGTTCTCCGTCGTGTGATACACCTTCCTGAACTTTCATTAATTTCAGTTGTTTTATATTTCATTTCTAATCATTGTACTATTTGGATCTCCTTTAAGTGTATTTCTGTTATTTATTTATTTTTTTTCTCATGGCTTTGGTAGAATCCTGGATATTGTGTATGAAAAGTCCTAGGGATAATTTGGGTTCCGAATCATTTATTTTCTTCCGGAGAAAATGTATTGCAGCTTCTGGCAAGCAGTTAGCCTACAGGTGCCCTCACCCACCCTCTCAGGACTGAGGAAGGGGCTTCCTTCCTCGAACTGATGCAAACTTCTGTCTCTTCAGCCCCATGGGTTGGCAGGAAGCTCTGCTTGGGGTCTCCGCTTTTCAGCCTCTGCGTGTAAGTAGATGCTTTAAGGGAGAAGAGGCGCCCAAGGTCAGACTCACCTGTCACACTGCCCCTCCCTCCCTGATCGCAGCCCCTCTGACCCTGCTTGCCTTGGTACTTCTCCAAGGCTAGCAGTTAGATTTTTTAAAAAATACATCTGTTGTCAGGTTTTTAAGCTGTTTGCAGAAGCAGGGGGTTAAACCTTGGTCCCGTGTTGAAAAGACCAGGCCCCCGAACAGAACCCAGTGCCCCCGTGACCTGCCCTTAGAGACTCTTGCCTTTTGGCGGTGATCGGCGTGGGGGAGGGCCAGTTAATTAGGCATTAGTGAGAGGCAGTCTCTTCATTAGGTCTCACCGAGTGAAGCAGGGAGGTTTTGGACCTAGCTTGACACAGTTGGCAGACCCTCCTTGTTTACAGATGTGGAAACTGAGGCCCAGGATGGGCCAGTCCCACAGTGACCGGGACCCAGGTGTTCACGACTGCTCCAGGGGGAGCAGGGGACAGTGGGCAGCCGGGCTGCTGTGGGCACTGGGGGTGCTGGGGCCATCCCCCCCGGCCCCCTGCCATGGCCTCCCCATTCCAGTGTCTTCTGAAGCCTGGGCAGCAAGGGGCCCATGTTGCCGCGAGACCTGGGTACGGTTCCCGGCAGCCTCCCCTCTCTCCTGCCCATTGCTCAGAAAACCTTGGAGCTGGTTTCTGAGAGTGATAGGGTTTTTTTTCCCTCACTAATCCCCGCAGTTTTTTGTCCATACCCAGTTTCTCTTCCGCTTTTTTCCCCACCCTGTTGTGAACGAAAGTCAGTGCACCAAATCATGCTCTGCTTTCCCTCCCGGTGCCTCAGTGGCGTTTAGCAGCAGGCCCGAGGGAGGCACTAGCGGGTAGAGGACAGGGTGGGTGTCCCTGCTCCTTGGAGGAAGCCTGTGGGAGTGGGCAGCCGGCTTCCCGCACGTAGGCCTTGCCCACACTGCCCCTCGGGGCCCTGGCAGAGAAGGGGCTGGTGGAGCTGGTGAATTCAGGGACGATTGGCCTCAGAGAGCTCCCAAACTCAGACCACTGCCACTTGCTAGGTGTGTGGCCACAGACACCTGCTGCCTCAGCCCTAGAAAAGCTGGCCGCCCGGGGCTGGGGACTTCGGCAGCGTTTTTGCCTGGCAGAGACAGGATTCTGTAGGTGACGGACTGTGGGAGCCCTCCTGCTGGGAAAATGTGCCCTATCCTGGAGGCCCAGGATTTCTCAGGGGCCAGCAGTCCTTGAGGGGCTCCGAAGAGGGAGTGAAGAAGGAGGACCCACATCCAGGCTCCCCTGGCTGGCGGGTCAGGGACCACTTCTCCCCCAAGGATGAAACGGTCTGTCCACTGTCTCTGGCCTTTAGTAAGCAGCACCCCCCGGAACTGTCATTCTGCCACCCTGTGGGGTTAGCCAGGGCCCCTCCTCCTGCGGGCAGGCTTTTGGGTGTGGGGGTCGGGGTTGGTGAGCTGCTGAGCCCGGGAGGCCCCAGCAAATGCTTGGTATGCCCAGCCCTGCCCGAGGAGACTGGCCAGGCCCAGTGTGTGATCCTGGTCGCCCGTGGCTCCTTCTCAGAGCTCTTGGGGTCCGCCTGGTAGCATTTTAAAGAGCTCTTGCGGCCACGGGGCTGGGCCGTTCCCCTGGCTGTCCCAGGGGTCCGGCTTGTCCAGCGTGGCACGCTGTCGTGCCCGTCCTTCACCCTTGCTGGCTGCTCCTAGCACACGCACAGCCTTGCCACCGAGAGTTGAGGTCTGCCCCGGCGGCGCCGGGCTGCAAAGGCTCTGAGGAGGAGGCCGCGCTTGGAGAACCAGTGGGTGACCACCGGTTTTCTCCTTTAGGAGAAACTCAGCCCGGGAGCTCTGGCCCTGACTCCAGGTCGGACGCTGTGGCCACCACTGTGGGGCCTAGGACAGTGGTGCAGTCCCTCCGACCCTCAGGTCCCCTGACTGTCAGATGGAGCTCCTCCGGGAGACACGGCCAGGGAATGTTCCAGGGGCCTACCTGGCCCCAGCTCTGGGTGAGAACCGACGGCGCAGCCGGGGCTGTGGCAGAGCCGCCTGCCCAGCTGCCACCTGGCAGGTGACGGGGCTCGGCGACGGGGGCCTGTCCCAGTGATTCTTCTGTTCCTGCGCTTGCCCTTTCACCAGGCTGTCTCCAGAGAGACCGGAGGGAAGTAGAGAAGCCACAGCCCAGCTCGCGCGGCTTCCTCACGGGCTGACCTGCCAGTGTGTGAGGTGAACGAGGCCCTCCGCTCCATCTCTGCCTGTTCTCTGCTCTCGTAGGGAACTCAGGCTGCGGAACTATGTCCCCGAGGATGAGGACCTGAAGAGGAGGAGGGTGCCCCAGGCCAAGCCAGTCGCGGGTAGGTGGACCGCCTCACTCCACCTCTGCTCGGAGGCACGGACGCCTCCACCTCGGCAGGTGTCGCGCTCTCTTGGAGAGTAACCAGCCGCGCCAGGGCTGGAAGGTGGGCTTCTAGGACCCTCGGGCACCATCTCACAGCCATGCGGCAGTAACCCACGTTGAGTGACAGCAGAGGCGGTCAGGGCACCCGAGGGCCTTCCAGGGGCCTGCGAGGGAAGAGGCCGCATCCCCCTGGAGGACCTCTCTGGGCTGAGGAGTGGAAGTGGCCCTGGGGCCCTGGGACAGCAAGGGCAGGGGGAAGGTGGGGGGAGCGTCCTGGGGGTCCGAGTGAGTCCCTGAAGAGGAGCTGAGCGTTCAGGCACTCAGCGAGCCGTGGGCGGGCCGACGCCCGCCAGGCACAGAGGATGGGAGAGGCGTTCCTGTCGGGGCGAGCAGCTGGGAGCTCCTGGAGATGCTCCACACTGGGGACGCAGAGCACTTCTTACCCTGGAGACCCCTGGCCCTGTTTTTAGCCTTCATTTTTGTGATCATTTCTGAATTCTACAAATTCTAAATGAATAATCATTTATCTTGAAAAGAGTAAAGTGTTACCCCTTCAGCCACACCCCAGTCTGCTTCCCCACGTTCTTCGCCCCAAGATTCACATGCTTTCCAGGTGGTTTGCTTCATGGTGTGGGCCACACTGTGGTGGGGACAGTGAGGCAGGCCAGGGGAGAGGGGTGGGGAGTGGTTCCGGGCCATGAGGCAGCACATGGCAACAGTGACGGGGTCACAGGAAGCACCTGGAGCCCAGAGTTGTTGTTAGTGTTCCTGGTCTCTGTGCCCACAGGGGCGAGGCCCTCCTGGTCTCACCACCCCGAGGCCCAGTGTCCGGTCAGGCGCGGGCCGTAGCGCCTCCCCAAAGTGACTGTCCCCCTGCTCTTGGGAGCACGTATCTGAGTGGGATGGGAAGAAGAGCCACCTATGTCCCGGCCGGTCCATGGCCCAGAGGACATCCTCAGAATCCAGGAGCCCCTGTAGAGTATGGGAAAGCCGGTCCTCGTGGTTCTTCACAAAACCGTACCGTGGCAATACCCGGGTGGTGCTCCCATTTCCCAGGGGAGTGTAGCAGCCATGCGTCTGGCGGGAGGTCTGGGCTCCATCTGTTCTGGCTGTCTGCCTCCTGCAGGCTCTCCTTCGCCCCAGGATTGTTTCATCCCGGGAAACCCAAGCCCTTCCTCCTGGGCAGCCTTTGCAGAGTCTTCACCTCTGGAAGTTGGGAGCCCGGGAGAGGGGCCAAGAAAGCCCAGGGTCTCCGCGGGGACCCGCCCGCACCCTCTCCCCCTCCCCCAGGCACCCCAGGGAGAGCAGGGCTCCTTTCCCACAGGCCTGTGTTGTTGTCTTGCACCCTCTAGTGGAAGAGAAGGTGAAGGAGCAGCTGGAGGCCGCCAAGCCCGAGCCCATCATCGAGGAAGTGGTGAGCACCCTGAGTGCCCCGGGGGCCCACTGGGGGCCCTTCTCTCCTCCCCCACACCCCCTCCTCCCTCCCTCCCTCTCTCCTGCTTTCTACCTCTGTGCCCTGGACCTGGGCCCCTCCAGCCCTGACATGCGTCTCCTCCCTTCCCAGGACCTGGCCAACCTCGCGCCCCGGAAGCCTGACTGGTGAGCGCTGCCACGTAGGACTAGCGTGGACTGAGTGGCCACTCGTGGTGCCGGGCACGGCCCTCAGGCTGAGCCTTTCCCGCCCTCACATCAGGGAGACGGATGGTGTGGACGCGCAGCTACACAAGATAATTACTGTCCACAGTACCTCCTGACAGGACGTAGAAGGACAGCGAGAGGGAAGCCTGTGGGGGGGTGACGCCTGGAGGGTGAGGAGGGGCTCAGGGAGAGCGAGGAGCAGCCGTCCCCTCCAGAAGGCCCTTCTGCAAGGGCGAGGCTCCGGCCCACCTCAGTTGCATTTGAGCAAGGCCAGCCTTGGCCCTCAGGGAACCACAGGATGGAGGCGAGGTGATGGGAAGGGCAGACGTTGATTCCTGTCCTGGTTCTGCCACCAGCTGGCCTGTTCTACTTTGGCCTCAGTTTCCTCTTCTGTGAAGTGGGGCTAATCGTCCTTCCCCGGTGCCCCTATGACCAGGCTGATACAGAGAGTGAGAGAGGGCCGTGTGGCCTGGGGCTGGTGGTATACTTGACCTCGGGCCAGAGGCATGGGCCCCATCCCTCTCACCTGCCATCCTGTGGCAGGCATGGCACCACTGAAGGTGTTATTTGTTGAAACAAAAGCATGGGGCATACATCCTAGGAGTCCCTGAGTAGGGGGAGTGGGCTGTGTGTGCACTTCTGGAAGTGCCTGGTGGCGAGGGGGAGCAGGACCCACAGTGGGACCAGACCAAGAGGGCGACTCTGAGAAACCATCCACCCTTGCACACCTTGACTCAGTCCCACGTTTGGTGGGTCTGCAGCACCAGTCACTGCCTCAGCGGGACGGGGCGGGGTGGCTGATGCTGGGTTTGGGAGGGTACAGAGAGGAACGTCCTGGCCTCCTCCCCAGGGTGGTCTCCTCAGGCAGCTGAGTGTGATTTTACCTAATGCCAGAGGGGCTTTGGGAGGGGAGGGTCCCAAGGCCACACCAAGCCAGCCTTTAGCTTCTGGCCTCCTCATACCTGCCTGCTACAGGGACCTCAAGAGAGACGTAGCCAAGAAGCTGGAGAAACTAGAAAAGCGGACCCAGAGGGCCATCGCCGAGTTGATCCGTAAGTACAGGGCCTAGCAAAGTGGGGTCCCTGCCCTCTGGGTGGTGGCCCAAGCACAGGGCCCCTCCCCACTCCTTCTGTCTGCCATCCATCCAGGTGAGAGGCTGAAAGGCCAGGAGGACAGCTTGGCCTCTGCAGTGGACGCTACCACCGAGCAAGAGGCCTGCGACTCCGACTGAGGCACGCCGTATCCCAGGCCTGGCCTGTGGGCCGGTAGCCTTGGGTAGGGGCGGGGCTGGGCTTGCTGTTACCGCCAGTTTGGCTCCAGAGCCACATTGCCTCATCAGTCCGAAACCCTTGCCATGGGGTGAGGTCAGCTCCTTGTTTCCTAAGTGGTCCCCAGCAGACTGAGAGGGCCAGAGCCAGTAGCAACCGTGTGGGCTTGCTGTGTGTACATATGTATGTATTTGGAACTTTCTTTTATCTCTAGAAATAGAAGCAAGCAGACCCACGTGCGTGGCAGAAACCTATTAAATATTTTCTCGGTCCTTGGGGCGCTGTGGGTTTGGGCCCCAAGGAGTAAGCCCTGTGTGGGGCCAGGCGTGTCGAGGCTGGAGGGGTGCAGAAGGCCCAGGCCCAACCTTTTGAGGCCAGGTCCTGGTCCAGTCAGGCGGTCATGTCAAAACCTGTGGGTGACAGAGTCTGAGAGGCTTTTCTAAGCCCTCCCGTGGGCCTGGACCTTGCAGGAGTGTCTGGTCAGCCTGGAGAGGCTCCCAGCCTGGTCCTCTGTAGATCCCCTCACAGTGTGAGAGAGAGAAGGGAGAGGCTGGGTGTGAGGAGCGGGTGAGCTGTGCCCTGACAAGCCTCCATTCCGGGCCACTCCAGATCCAAGGCTCCTGGCGCTGTTGTGTCTCATTCTCACAACCCCTGGTGGCCCCCAGTCCCTACGTCCGAGTCAGAGCTAGACCGTGGCTTCCCTGGGACAGGGCCCCTGCATTGGGGAGGGTGGCTCCTTAGGATATTATAGCCTGGGTTTGGGGTGTGGTCTTGGGCCCTGGGTCCCCAAGGTCCTGGCGTTAGGACCATGAGCCTCCTCTGTGGGGCTGACTCTCCAGAGTGACTGACTGGCCACAGTTCTGACTCCAGGTCCCTGTGGGCAACTAGAATTTCATCTCCAAAGTGATAACATGCTTGAGTTGCCTTCAGGGTCTCCCCTTGAGTCTCCCACCTCCACCCTGTGTCATCCCAGTGCGCCCTTCCCTCTGTGCTGAGTTGGAGGAACACATTGGCCTGACTCTGGCGGACGGTGCCGAGGACCCGGGCCGGAGGGCTGGAGCGGGTGTGTGCGACAGCAAATGCTTTCAGCTGGAAGTACGCAGCTACCCTGAGAAGGTGACTGGTGCAGGAAGGGAGCAGGCATGACTGAGGGCCAAAGCGGTAGGTGGCTGGCTGAGCAGCGGTCAGGCCCAGGACTCTGGTTCCCACGCGAGCAGGGGTCACACATGCCCACGGGCGGCAAGGCCGGAGCCAGACTCCCTCTGCATCGTGGCGTCTGGGACTGGCCTTCCCTTCCTGGGAATAAAGGACGAGAAGGTGCCCCCTGCCCTGGGACTGCCGTAGGAAGCAGGGTGCTCGTCCGTGGCAGTGCAGGCCTCAGACACCCGGCAAGGTTCCCACTCCGCACCGGCGCTGGGACTAGCTTGCGGCGGCCCCACAGAACGGGAGCCCCGAGAGCTGAGGAAAGGTTTGCTTCCTGCGTTGACAGCTCCGTGTGCCAACAGAAAACCGCCGTGCAGGGAGAGAGCAAAACCAACAGCATCACTCACGATGGGCACGCGAACAAAAGTTACAAAATATATGAGGAGATCTGTGCCTTGAAGAAGGGCTCCCACCCCACCAGGTGGAAGAATTGATACCCAAGGAAACTGAAACTGTGACATCCTACCAGGCTTTAAAATGAGCCTTTGTTTTCTCACCAGAGAAGTAAAAGAGGCATTGAGCCCCATAACTCAGGAACGGGGATTAGGTATGAGGAAGACCTGGTTAGTAATCTTGGAAACAAAGAATGTTTATTAAAAGAAGAAACACGCACACACAGAACATAAGCAGCTCCCTTGAGGAGCTAAATACTAACAGTCAAAGAAGGGATTGATCAATTGGAAGTTAAAGCTGATGCCCCAAAAGACGGCAGAGAGAGATGGTAGGTCACAAAGCTGACAGACTGCCACGTGTCCTTGAGCGGATGGGAGATCAGGAAAAGAAAACTGGAGAAAGAAGGAATGGCTGACCACTTCTGTCTCTGGTATCATGGGGCCACAGCAGCCTGAACTGATCCTCCCTTGGCAAATAGCTAAAAATACTAGGTAAATAAATAGTTACAACAAATACTCACTGACCAGGCAAGAAAGTAAGGAACACTCAAGCAGAAGGTAGGAGAAGCAGCAGAATGCTGAAGCCTGACCTTTGACTTGAAGGTATTTGACAAACGAGGTGAAACTGAGCATTGGTTTTTGGGGTCCTCAGTGCCTGGGACTAAGATAACCCAGTACCCGTGCATGATGAGGGGCCTGGTACGAGAGCCCTCCAGAAGGCTGGGGCTGCAAAGGTCAGGGCCCTCTGTGAACTAATAATAGATCTGCTCCCTTGGCATCACAGAGAAAAACTGAACCTTGCCATTGACTGGAGTGAAGGAAGGTCTCCCTTGAGGACTGAGCCGGCCCCCACGTGGGTTTGCACATGAGAAACCTCAAGCCAGGAGTATATGTGGTCATCATCATCAGAAAGGGGTGGTCTCAGATGCTTGATAGAAATGCAGATCCTAGGGGTGCCTGGGTGGCTCAGTTGGTTAAGTGACTGCCTTCGGCTCAGGTCATGATCTCAGGGTCCTGGGATCGAGCCCCGCATCAGACTCTGTGCTCAGCGGGGAGCCTGCTTCTCCCTCTGCCTCTGCCCCTCCCCCTGTGTGTGCTCTCCTGCTCTCTCTGTCAAATAAAGAAAATCTTAAAAAAAAAAAAAAATGCAGATCCTACCTGAATGAACCTCGATTCATCACAGTCCTCGATGAAGCCCCATTGATAAAGTTCCAAGAAAAGTGAGCAGCTTCTGGGAAAGGTCACCAGATCTACGAGGCAGAAAGGCACCAAGAGCAAAGGACATTGGCAGGGACACGGTAGACTTACAAAGGATTCATACATTAGGATTACCAGGCACATGATTTAAATGTTGAAAAATGATGTAAGAACTAAAAGGCTTGAAAACAGGAATCGATTTGCCAAAAACACCAAAGTGATGTTCTGGAAATAACTATCATAGTAGTTAGAAGCCCTGGATCTGTGAATTAGAGCTAAAGAAACAGTTCATGAATGTGAAGCTAGGCCCGAAGAGGTTCTCCAGAATGCAGCGCAGCAAGATAAACAGACCGATAACCTAAAACAAGAAGCTTTAGAGATACAGAGGATAGTGAGAAGAGCCAACATAACGTGATTGGAGTTCCAGGAGGGAAAAAAGGCAAAAATGAAGCGGACCTAATACATTTTTTTTTTAATGGTTGGGAGCAGCTCTTCAGAATCACCAATCCACAGATTCAAGGAGGTCAGCAAATCTCAAGCAAGGCAACAAAAAGAAATCAACACTCAGATGTTCCATCTCTTGGTATGGATGGTGATTAGTTAGGTATATGCAGTTTTTGACTGTTCATTGACCCCCATACATCTGACATGTACACTTTTTGTATGTTTATTACACCTCAATAAACAAGTTCACTTTAAACTTTTTTTATATCTTGCCTTAATCGTCAATTACTGTATTCACATTTCATACAAAACTCAGTGGCTTGAAACAGACCTTTAATATCAGACCGTTTCTGTGGGTCAGGGATGCAGGCGTGGCTTACCTGGGCAGTTCTAGTTTGGGGTCTCTGAGATTGCAGTTAAGATGTCCCCTAGGGCTGCAGTCATCTGAAGGCTTGGCCGGGGCTGGAAGATGTGCTTCTGGGATGCCTTATGCCCCCGGGAAGGCTCATGGAAGCATGGCGTGCGCAGTCCTTGCCACGTGGCTCTCTCCATAAGGCTTGTGTGAGAGTGTGTGTGTGTGCGTGCGCGTGCACGTGGGCGCACGCTGTGGCAGCTGGCTTTCCCCAGAATGAGTGATCCAAGACAGAAGGCAAGGGGAAGCTTTAGAGCCTTTTATGACCTGGGCTTGGAAGTGATATTCTGCCACGTTATATTGTTAGAAGCAAGTCACAACGTCCAGGCTACGTTCAAGGGAGAATTAGGTTCTACCTCTGGAAGGGAGGTCTAAGAATTTGTCGGTGTTATTTTAAAACCACCGCATACCTAGACAATTAAGTGCAGTAAGTTGGCAGAAAAAGAGCAAGAAAAGATGTTAAAATTAGAAAAGATACATTACTTTTTAAGGAGCAAGACAGCAGATGTCTCAGCCATAGCGAGTGTTAACTGGAACGATCCCTTCTGGTACCAGTGTTAACTAGACGAGAGGAAATTGTCAACTTAAAATTCTATACCCAGAGAAAATATCTTACAAGATATTTTTAGACAAGCAAACTCAGAGATTTTGTCACCAGCAGACTCACATGAAAAGAAAGCCTATTTTGGGGTAATGAAAATATTCTACAGTGGATGGTGGTGGTGGTTGCACAAATCTATGAAAATGCTAAAAGCCGTTGAATTGTACACTTGCAAAGTGTATGAGATGTATGTTATATCTCAATAAAGCTGTTTTTAAAGAAAATGAAATAAGCCTTCTCCTTTAAAAAAGGAAAAAGCTCTATGTCTTAATATTGGAATGAGACATGATTCCAGATGGAGAATCTGAGATACAAGTAGGAATGAAGAGAAAGAAAGTGAAATATAAATAGGTATTGACCTTATGAAATGAAAACGTTCTATGGAGTAAAAGTAAGACTAGGGCTACTAGAGTATGTAACAATAGCAGTAGTTACGCAGTCTTGCCTGAGGTGAGACGTGGTTGGGATTATAGCCCTCTACGAAGCTCAGCTCACTCGGGAAGAGAAAAGACTCAGTCTAGACTCTAGACTGCTCCACAGGCAGGCGGACATTTCTAGGGTAGCCCTAACAGAATAGAAACAGTGTACCACTTCCAAAGCAGTTAAAAAAAAAATGAACACAAAATTATCCAAAAGAAGGTAGAGGAAAAAAAGGTAAGACAAGTAAATGAATCCAAATACATCATTAATTACAATCAGCGTATTAAACCACCTTTTTTTTTTAAAACTCAGTCTGATGCTATTTTTAAAAGAAGCCTAAACTCAAAGAAAGATTGCAAGTAAAGGGATTAGAGAAGCTCTACGAAGAGGTGCGTGGGTGGCTCAGTCAGTTAAGCGTCTGCCTTCGGCTCAGGTCATGATCCCAGGGTCCTGGGATCGAGTCCCGTGTCGGGCTACCTGCTCAGTGGGGAGCCTGCTTCTCTCTCTGCCTCTGCTGTTCCCCCTGCTCGTGCTCTCTCTCAAATACATAAATAAATAAAATCTGA